TCTCTCTTTAATCTATTTATGACAAGAACACTAGAGCTTCAAGTTACAAACCGAAATTTCAAGTGTCACTGCTTCTTATAGTCAGACTAACCTCAAAATCTCATCTTATATATCTAAAGCTAATCAAAGCTAAATATCAAAAGAAGTTATTACACAAACGAGGCTTAAAAGTGCTATAGCTTTACCAGATATGGAATAGAATAGGCTTAGAAAATGTACGGAATGTAAATTACATCAACACCTGAGCAAATGGAACGGAAGAATGAGTTGGAAAGTGTATGAAAAATATTTTCGCGTCAATTTCATTCGAGTTTATCTGATTAATGATGAGCATATTTCATTTCGTACTCGTAAAAGCAAAAGTTTCTTTTTTGGATTTACTGTATACGAATGTCGTTTCATGACTTCTATATTTCTTATTCTCAAGACTCGGGAAATATTTATTTTACTTGTATATACATCAGATGCTTGACACTGAGTACAACAGTTACAGTTAAGATGTTAAGCATATTCAAAAACTTGTTGTTGATACGCAACAGTCGTAACATTCAAATCAGGTGCTTCTTGCATAATTTATATGACATATCCAATTTTTATACTCCTGCCATTATTTTCCTCTTGATGTTGATGTCGCTATCAACGGCACTGATGCTGTAAGAAATTTATTCGTCCTTTATGTCGTATATGTCAGCATCAATGTGAATGGAAACTCTCAAATGATTCTCTTATGCAGTTTTATGAGTGCCATGAATGAAATGGGAGACAAAGCAGTTAAAAAGGGCTTTGAAGCGAATACATTAATTAATTATTTAATGTGAAAGGAATATCACGAGATAAAATTAATTGTGCCATGAGCATTCATGAAGAATTTTAAAATTCAGGATGGAAGCACTTTGTTAAGTATGTTAACATTTGAGGAATAAAAAATTGCGTTAATTTGTACAGAAATTTCAATTAGTTTTTAACGAACATTTTATATTTGAAAATAAATTCGAGTTCAAAAATTCAAAATTTTAAAGTAACGGTTTTTGAAATTAAGTTTTCAGTTGAAATCCAGCCACAACAACCTTAAAAGCCCATATAGTCAAAAACTTACTCTCAAAAATATCGAAAGTTTAATTTTCCGAAATGAAAAGTCTTTAAGCAGAAAACATTAAGATGAAATGAGAGAAATAATTTTTTGGAGGCTACAGAGAAAATTGACTGGAGCGAACGGAAGGGTAGGAATAGAAATTAAAATGTGTGTTTGAACTAAATTAATGATTATGAGTGAGAACAATTTTCCGAGTAAATTTAATTAAGACAAAAGAAGAAGAAAAAGTTTTTTGTTTGAATGAGACGTGTTCTTGTTGTGAGACTGTCTTCTATTCTCCTTTTTAAGAACTTTATTGTGTGAGCCGACTCTAAGATTGGAAGGTATGCTTCGAAGTTTTTAATTTAAATTCACGAGACGAGATATAATGATTTTCCTAAATATACTAAAGCATTCCTTCCGATCGAGTTCAAAAGATTGATTCCTTAATGATATAAAAAGCTTAAGAAAAAGTCATTGAACTCACCCAAACATCAATCAAAGAAAGATTTCCGTATTTCAAAATCTGAATTTTTATCAAGAACTGTCAATGCTTACTTAACAAAGTACGACTAGAAGCTTCCAACTCAATTCCACAAGTATTGACGTTTTTCATCATCAACGATTGTTTATTTAAAATTTGCGTAAGAAATTCAACATCAATCACTTCAATAGGAAGTAAATTGCTCAATACATTTGTGCGTGAATGACAAGATGATAAGGATGAGTAGGAGAAAATATAAAAATATCTGAAATGATTAAATGATGATGAATTTTGTATCCCAATTCATCATTCAGCTATTCATGGAACTTTTGGTATTTTCATTAATCCCTTCAATCATAATTTAATTTTTTCGATTTTCTTTTATTACGGAAAAATTGATTAAGTTTAATCTTCAGAATCCTCAAATAAAATAAAAAATTTCATTACTTTACTCATTTAATTTCTCTTATTGACATAATGAGAAGGAACAAAATGTGATTTTTCACGAGTTTTTTTTCAAGGACATCCTTCAATCTAAATATTAAACATTTTTTTTTGCTGTCTGAATAACATGAATAACACAGCATGAGAGATGGATAGCGAAGTTTATTTTTTTTTTCTGCTGGAATAATATTTTTCATAAGCGATCAAGGAAAAAGTATTTCTACGACGATGATGATAATAATGATGGTGATGGCTTTCCGTTGGATAAGAAAGAAAAGAATCTTGTTGAATAGCATTGTCAACTTGTTGAAAGTTCAATATTTTGATTAAATATTTGATCTGCTTAGGGGCCCCGTCCAGGGGGGGGGTTCAGCAAGAAAAGAACAATAGAAATTCTTAAAAATTCATTTTTCTTTTATGAAAAATGACCGTTAAATTCGGACGTCATAAGTGAACGACCCCTTACCTTATCATTCAAGCTTTGAACTCACTTGATCTAAACTTGGTCAAAAATATTTGAATACAATAGACTATGAAGCTTTAATGTTTTTAAAAGCAATCTTGCTTTTGTCTGGGAGTTTACTTGAGAAAGTTTAGCTTTTGTTGCTGTAAAATAGCATTCAAAGTTTAATGGAAGCAGTTTAACTAATTTTGGAGAAATGATGAATTTATATAAAAAATAATTGGCATAGTTTCAAGCCCCTAATTTTGCATAACCTCTAATTATGAATTGCTTTATTTGTATGCCAATTTAAAATGTTACTTGGCAGTTTTATGATTTTTTTTGAAATACTCGAGATGTCAGCTTGTTCAGAACGTATAAAAACCTTCTAATCTACAAAAAAAATTAAAAATAAAACACGAAGGGGAAAAACTACGCAAAATAAAGTTATTTTTTTAAAAAAAATTATTTGAATTTAGAAAAATCGTTGAAAACAATGGTGAACTTATCTTACTAGATTCGTTATCAAAACACAAAGAGCAAAGGAATAATAAATTCATAACTTTAATCCAATTATTCCAAAGAATCTCCAAGAATTCTCAAGAAAATTTTAATTCATTGAAAAGTTGATTTCTATTGTCTAAAAAGTTTTCATCAAGCCTTACAGTCCTGAAGCCTTATATAATAAAACTCTACCTTTTAGGAGAAAAAAAACTTTTATTCACAAATTTAAACAGCAATCAAGAGTCAAGGTTGTCATAAGAAAAAGTGTGTCAATCACGTAAGGTTTCACATTGACAACCCTAATCAAACAATGCGAGCAAGAAAATATTTTTGTTGAGAATTTTTCTTCTGATTCTCGTTCTTCATCTTATTACTACATACTTTTTATTTTCATTGTCGATGATCCTTCAGTGATGGCGATGAGAAATTCTCTTTCCTTATCGTCTTATTTTATTACATTCTGAAAAACAACCTGCAAGAAGAAGGCACCTGAAATGTCATAACAATAAGACATAATTCACTGCTGCTTACATACACATACATCTCTTTTTTGTCGTGTATGTCGCACACTTTTTTGTCATTCATGACTCGCTTTCTAATACATTCTGCCTTGTTCTTTTGTTTAGCATAATTTTATTTATTTCACTTTCATACACAATTTCATTTCTTTTATTTCCAGTTTTTTTTATTTTATTTTATTTTATTTTCCATTCTTTCTTTCTCTTTCTCGGCAGATAAATGTTAAAAATGGAATGGAGATAAGGAACTTTTTTTACTGTCATCATGAGATGTCATGTCGCATTCATGTCAATTCGAATGATGGCGCGATATCAGCATTATTTGTAAAAGGAGTCATCCATAAATGACGTCTGGCAATCTTATCATAGGCTATCCTAACCCCCCTCCTTTAATTTTATTTTACAGTTTTTACTATCACACAGTTCCACTCCGATTCCCAATAATTAGACGTCATTTACAAATGATTCCCAACAGAAAGTAGGTAAGTAAAGTTTTGTGGATAAATCGATAGCTGAGGCAAAAAATTGAGGAAATACTTAAAGGAGCAAATTGTAATAGACTTGAGACATTGTGACAGTATAGACTTGATATTGCTGACAAGTCCATAAATGGTTGATATCAACAAAAAAAAACGATAGACACACGGTCGTGAAAACAGAAGAGAATGAAAGAGAAAAGGCACTGAGAAAAGAAATATGACGAAAATGAATATTATCTTTATTTTTATATCTCTTCTTTTTTCTTGTTTTCAGTCACATAAAAACAAGAAAGAAGCTGAGAGAGAGAGGAATGGAAAAATAAATATCGTGGAAAACAGAATCATGAAAAGCGTTCTTTTTTTCTCCGTCATATAACACCATATACATTTCGTTTTATTCCTTTTATCTTTATTCCCTTGCGATTGATATCTAGACTTTTCGAAGCTTGTGCAATTGATCGATTTGCTGTCAATTTTTTAAATTTTTCTGATTTTTTTAAGACATTGAATGGAAATATTACAATCAACGAACGATAACGGTTTTCTAGATTTTAAATTTTATCGAGATGTAAGTTTGAAATTTAAACTTTAACGATTTTAACCGTTATTTTTAAAAATAAAATCTTCAAAAGCTCAAAGTTTGATCGCTAAAAGCATTTTAAAGCTCTGCTGGACATCAAACTTTTACATCAAATATTTAATAAGCTTAAGGATGTAAGATAACATCTCTCTAGCCTCAGCATTATCCAAATTTATCGCAAGGATCAACGAGTTTTCTTTTGTGTCTGTTTACGGTTTCAGCCATCTGACATCTCACACTTCTGTCCCATCCTTCTCCACCATTTATATATGTTTATTTATATTTTAAGCTATTCTTCTGTCTCATTCTGTTGCTTTTCTTTTATTATCAATTCTTTTTGTTCACTTTTATACAATTTTTCATACACAACAATACACATTTAATAATATAAGTTTTCCCTCTTTTTTGTATGTTTTCCTTTATTCTCTATTTTATTTTTTTCGATATCATGAAGTGCCTTTCTTCTTTTGTTTATTATCACCTTCCTGATATCACCTGCGCCAAGATGAGAATCGGATATAATAAGAGTGAATGAATTGTTGCTTTCGGTTGTTTTTGTTTGATGCTTAAACCAGCATGTGATTGCATCGCTTCGGGATGTTCACCTTTAATGAATAAACAAACAGAAAGAAAATGAGAGAGAATGAAAATGTAAAAAAAAACAAGTCTCTGGGTATCATTAATATTAAAAATGAACGTAAATATTCAGGGCGTGCTGATGGAAGGATATATTCCACTTTTTAAGCAAAAGACGCTTTCCATTTAAAGGATGCATCTCAAACAGTACAATGATCAAGGAACGGCGGTGCTTAATAACAACCTCCAATATAAAAATAAATCCATTATGTACCAAAAAATTCCCATCAAATAATCAATTCTCTTACTTTAATTGGAACCAGCTGACACACCCCGATTGTACATCGTGGAGTAATAATTGTTTATATCTGTATTAAAACCAACCCACGTGCATATATGAGTATTTATATATATTTTATATCTCAAGTGTATGCAAGTTAAATTAATTATCGAGAATAATTAAATTAGAAATGTGTCGTATGCTTGAAGCAATGGAAGGAAAGTCAAATGGGAAATTACAAATGAGCATTCATTAGAGCTCCCAACCACGGCAAAAAAAGCGAGAGTAAGTTTTTTGAGGGTATGAGAGGATCAAGAAACCGAAAATATTTATGAAAACTTCCCCACAACAATATTGTTTTGTCATTTTTATGAACGAGATTTAACACGAAAAGCAGCGATAATATACCAAAAACATTGTGGACAGGCTTTTGTTTTGTTTTGTAATACATAAATAGGATTTTCGAGTACAAACTTAATTATGATGTAAACTAATTCATTATCTGATAGGAGGGAGCTTCTTACTTATGGGAAATTTACTTCCATTAAGGCGTAATTTAATGCTCATGCTTTATTATTCGATTTCTATATTTTCTGATAGAATATTCGTCCTTGAAGCATGAATTAATGCAGAGTTGAAGTTAAATTTAATTTTAACTGTAAAATTTTGAACTTTTCAGTTATTAAGTTTCTCCGTCAACCTCAAGCTGTTTGGGTTTTGTAACTTTGCAACCAACTTCACGTTATATGCTAATTATGAGCTCGAGTTCATATTGCAGTCAATTTGATTCATTTGACTCCATTAACCTCACTTTCGATGTTTAAAGAAGATCAAAATCAAATCAACTAAGTTTATCCATAAAAAGCTAAACAAATGCGAATAAAGAAGCACGTATTCTGAATAATTGAGAGTAAAGCAATCTCCAAAAAGTATTCTCTCCATTGAATCCATATTTCTATTTAAATAAAGCTAAACTCAATGAATCGAATAACAACACTGATGCCAAAAGTTCAATATAATAGAGAAATTATTATTAAATATATGCTTTAGTTGTTGCTCATGTAGATACGAAACGATAAAGTTCAAATTTGATTTATTAGCAATGAACATGAAATGCACAGCAAAGCATAATTGAGGTGTTGTTGGACTCTCAGTATACATAACATTAATTTCATTCCACAACATTTATATTCAAATTCAATTTACGCATGATTAAATATTTCGGGGAGAGAGAGAGAGAACGATGACGCTATTCATGTCTGTTTAACTAATAATTGAGGCACTTTGTGGTATGGGAATTTATGGGAATGAATTATGCATTCATGTTGATCTGAATATTGTTAAGGTGCATATTTATAGCAAACACGTACGCAAAATTATTCTGGAAAATTGATCAAATATTCACACAATTAGAAACTGGACTGATTATGAATTTTTGTTGACTTTACTAGATGAATAGAGATTTCAACAGAATCTTTGTTGTGAACTTTAACAACCTAAACTCGATTTCTATTTATTATTACAAAGGTATTGAAAAAGTATTATTTATAAAACATGTTGTGGTAATGTTTTTAAAAACATTATTCTACAACTCTTGATTACATAAAGTTTGTTCTCATTCATTTCTTTGAATTTTGATCTGTGGGGAAAAGCTTTCAAAAATAATTAAAATGTATGAAATTGGCATTTCTAAATGATAAAAGAAAACTTTTAATTGGAGTAAATGAACAGATTTCTTCCAGAAAAAGTAAAATTCAATGAAAATGATTAAAATTTAAAAGTTTTGATAAACTTTAATTGAAAATCAAAATCAGTTGAACTGAGTTGTCAAGAGATCCTGAAGGATAATTTGAAAAATGGAACATTTTTTAAATCAAATTTGTTGCATGCTAGTCCAATCACATTTCTTAGCTTAATCGAAAGAAACTTTTCAAACAAAAGGAATGAATCAGGCATCAATCAGACAAAATTACTGCTGATCCTTAAAAAAACGTTTCAATTTCACCAGACAAAAAATTGATTAAATTTGAGAAAATTTCATAAAACTCCATTCAATATTCATTTGAAAATAAATATAATAATAAATTGAGGATACTAATTCAATTCATTGGAATCTATCAATCGTCGATTTAAGCATTTCCAGCACAAAAGGAAGACGAAAATGCTTAAAAGCCAAAAAATTATATTTCAATTTTTCAATAAAAAGCAATCATTTTAATATTTTGTAGGTACGTAGCATATTTTTCAGGAGCCAAAATTAAAATGCACAGAATGGAAAAAAATAATCATAAATAAAATGAAACTCTTTCCTGTTTTTAATGCTCTTTGCTTTTTATCATATTTCAATAATCAATAAATTTGCATAAATAAATTAAATGGTCAGTCTTGCTGATGCTTTTGTGTTTATATAAAATATAGTCACTGCATTTGTGTATTTAAATATATTGTCCAGGGTAAATATTTATTTGTGGATAATTTAAAAGGCATTTTTTCCACCTGATCGCATGGAACCTGATAAACATTATACATACTCTTGTTGTTCTATTTATATAAACATTAAATAAATTCAAAGTTGATTATTTTCCACTTTTTTTGTGTTTAATTTCCTCTCTGCCTGCCCCTTTTTCCCTTCGTCTACTTCTCTTGCTTATGAAACGGGTTTATGTATGCAAATGATCATCATATATCCATTTTACATATCTCATACAATGAATAAATGTGAAATAGGGGTTCTGTACATAATAATCCAGTCTTATTGATGTATCATAACAACTTTAAGAAAATAATAATTTTAAAGTTTAAAAAATAACGGTATTTTAAGATTTCAAAAAATAATCGCACTTTTAAATCTACAAAAACAGTTGAAAATCTCGACGCTTTTATGAAAACCACTAAAATAAAATGAGAAGAGTAATTTTAAAATAAACCCAGCATGTAAACACATGAACATTTATCCGTGTAGTAAAAATAACATGAAAGTAAAAGAAAATGACGGAAATTCACCATAAATTATGTGAAATTGGTCATTTGCATGTAAAAGAGAGCAAGAAAGAGGCAGAAAAAATTCCACTGCCAGCACCGTTGGTTCTGTATTTTTAAGCCACTCATGCTTGTCAACCTTTTTTCTATTTCATAGCTTTCAAGACTCTTTACTGAATAAATGAATAGTCATTGTGGACTTTAAAGCAAATTTTTATTCATTAGGTAAGGCAATATCTAATGCTGTTAGCATTTTATTACAAACTTTGTGGTTTAATTCTTGCTTGGATGCACATAATAGACATCATACAATCTTCTGTCGTCATGCGTCATTAAAACGATTATTTTAAATCAGACGGAAATGTTTTAATTCAAATCTTAAAAAATCGTTAAACTTTCAAATTGAAAATGGCAGTTACTCCTGGCAAAGAAAGTCCCAAATGCGTCATAAAGTCTTTTTATCACTGAAATTGCATACCAGTCTATTATTGTACAAGTAAGAATATCAAATGTGATGATGACAACGAGAGGGTCACTTCAGAGACTTAGGGCAAGATCAGAAAAAAAGGGAATAAATATTCAAATTCAGATTTCTCTGCTTTTAATAACTTAATTAATATGATTCCTTCACTACATGATAGCTAATAATAGTAAGTTTCTTTTTAACATTCATTTTTCAAAATGGCGACTTATTAAGTTAGATTAATTAACAAATTAATATTTGAAATCGATTTTTCTTTGAAAAGAAAGCAAGATAAATGTTTGGAAGCTTGACAAAAGTTGTAGAGCTTGCTTTTTTCTATCATGTGATCAAAATAGATTTTATTAAAAATGAGTTATTTTAGTTAAATTAACTGAAAACCAAATTGAATGTAAAATGTATTTTTAAATCAAAACTATTAACCTTAATCGGTCAAGAACAATTACTTGATATCTAAAGAGTCTTTTACTATTTAATTTACATTCGAAAAAGGCTTTAAAGTAAGTTAAATTAACTATAAAAACAATGAAATTTAAGTTGAGCAACAAATTTTGCTCTTATTTGCTCACAAATTTATAATTTTAAAAACCGTTACAAAATTTTTGGTCAAATTTTTTACTACAATTTAATTTTCTCTGCTTGTCTTGAACAAAAAATAATATTTCTTTTGCAATATGAGAAACATTGTTGAATTCTATAGTTTGAAATGAAAAAATCAGTAGACGAATAACACAGCAATGACTTATGACTAGTTTTGTAAAACTCATCATAACTTGGTTAATTATAGTAGAATTGAAAATTTTCTCTCACAAACTTAAAGAAAATTACATATGTTACCTTTTTTGTAAAGAAAGCTAGTTCCTAAACTATTTCCTTCATATCAAAATTTCAGCTTCAACATTTTAAAGCTGAATTAAGCTAACTTACAAATCCGCCATTTTGTATATTTTAAACAAAACTTTTAATGATTTGATTGCTTAATTATCTGGTGAAAAATCGTTATGATTAATGAAGTATTCGCAGAGATATTACATTTGCAACATGGTGTAAAATCGAATTTCCTCAAAATTGTTCGTGACGCTTAGCACTTTAAATTAATTTTTAATGATAATACAATGTCTAAGAGATACTTGTTATACACCAAAATATAGGTCTTGGCAAGGACTTTAAGAAAAACACAAGTCTCAAATACATATTTCGCATTATTGATTCAAAAATTGTAAATTATTGTTAAGCGTCACGAACAATTTATTTTTGATCTTGCCCCTTAATTTTCATAATGAAATGTTAAATTTTTGATTCTCGAGAAGGATGAAAAGAAAATAAATTTTAATTTAGCAAGCGGTATGTCACAAAAAATGGCAAAGTCAAAGCTCATTTGCGGTGACAAGTAACTGAAAAAGGACTTGTTATGTTGCATGGTTAATAACTCGAGAGAAAAATAAAATAATTGACTGCCGTTGTATGATTTTGTTATACATTTAACCCACTGGAATAATATTTATGCTGCTCGTAGTTTACTTTTTGCTCCATCATTACTGTTTCCATAACTTCTCAACATTTCTTGTTCTGCGTTCAAATATATTCACACCGTACCATCAAAAGTCTTATGGATAGACCAAGATTTGCTCAGCATAAGTTTGAAGGGTGGGCGTGAAGTACGGCCGAGACCCATATCGACACAGTTCAAAAGATATACCTAATTTATGTCATAATTATGTCAGCTACAAAAACACTTAGTTTGAATTGTGTCACCCTCGGGAACACTATGAACCAGTATAGCTGATTTTGGTCCAAATCTCGGCCATACTTCACACTTATTTGAACCACATTTTCTCGTAAATGTTGAAATATTATTAAAAAGTAATTAATCCTGAATTATGTCGCTATTTTGTCAAGTGTTTTAGGATAAAGAATTTGTTTTTTGGTTTCCACAGTGAAGAATATGAACAAAATTCAGATGGGCGAGTCGAAATTTTAGATTTCGATTTTTTTTTAAGCTATGCATTACAAAAAGTAATATTGGTATATGATTTATGTCAGAATTATGTCAATTCAAATAAAACATCCAAAAAATTTTTTTGACAAAAGTACACCATAGAAAATCAATTTTCAATTTTGGACTAGGGGCGACTCTAGTCAAAATCAATTTTGTCACTTTTTTTCTTCGAGGGTTTATCCAAGTGGATTGAAATTTTGCATAAATATTCTAGTGCTTAAAACAAATACAAATAAAACATCCTAAAATTTTTTTGAGCAAAGAACCAAGTAGGAAATACATTTTCAATTATGAACTTGGGACGGGTCCAGTCAAAATCTAGTTTTTCACTTTTTTCTTCGAGGATAAATCCAAATACAGTGAAACTTTGTATGAGCATTCTAATCTTCAGGTCACACATTTCTGAATTAATAAAAATTATTTTTTTGGACAAAATTTTAAGTCACGTTGTTTTTGAATGTACAACCAAATTTATAAAATTTGGGTCTGACGACATATAGAATACTGTAGAAAACATTTCTTGCTTTAGATATAAACTGTTTTAAAACTGTTTTTAAAACTGTTTTGTATAAATATTAGTATACTCACACAAAGTTTCACTGTAATTGGATAAACCTTCGAAGAAAAAAAGTGAAAAACTAGATTTTGACTAGACCTGTCCCAAGTTCAAAATTGAAAATGTATTTCCTTCTTGGTTCTTTGCTCAAAAAAATTTTTTTCATCCAAAGTTTAATTTAAAATAAAAAAAAATCACAGTGAACTTTTAATTTGAAAAATTCGTAAGAAAGGAAAGTTTTTTGCTTTTTCTGAAGCAACGGCTGTTCCTACCTTGCCCAAAAACAATACAGCTCTTCTATAAAGCAGCTCGGATCAAATGTAAAAAACTAGAAGTCTCTACGATCTCTCGTTATTGAGATTTCTTGCTGATTAACTTGCTTGCTTGCTTGTTTGCTTACAGAAAGCGTATTTTGCGATTTTCTCAGCAATGCCACAACCAATTTGAAATCTGTTTTTTGAAAATGATGTAAAATTTCAGGCACAAACTTTTTTTCTGTGACCTTTTATAACCAATTTTGCTTTGTTTTCTTACAAAATGCGAAAAACTGATTTTTCAATCTGAACAAAACCAATAGATTCACACGTGAAAACGGTGTGAATATAAAAATTAAAACATGACAATTTAAAAATTCTGATTTATGTTTGAGGTTATCCTTGATCCTTTTCATCTTTTATTCTGGATTATAACTGGACAAAGCACAGTTATAAAAGGTACGCAAATACTAAATTATGGATAACTGTCTCAGTCAAAATTTTTTGTTGAATTTTTAAATAATTGCTTGAGCAAATCGATATTAAGCACCTGGGGCGTAGCCAGTATTTAAAAAGGGGGGACAAAAATTTTTTTTGGATGGAAAACTATTAGGGGGGGGTATTTTTTCGAGTTTTTCATAAAAACTCTAGCAAGATGAAGAAGTTTCTCAAGACGAAGGGGAATTTGTCCCCCAAATCCACCCCCTGGTACGCGCCTGTCAAGCACTACCAAATATTTTGGTATTTTTAGGCATTGACGTGCTAATTCAATGGAATTTAATTAAATCAGTGTCTGTGCTATCATTTTTGATTTATTGTAAACCTAAAATGTTAAACATATCTTAAGAATTTATACTGTCAAATCCTGGAATTCATAAAATTCAATAATCGTAACAATTCTAAGCAAACCCAACAAAATCAAATCCCCATTTGTTGATTTAAGAATCTTTAATGCCTGCTGGCAAGTTGTGAAAGCAATTACTTGATTGACATTGTTAAAGATTGAGTAAACAATAAACATTGTTAACTTCTCAAACATAAAAAATCAATTACTTTAATCGCTCTTGTGTTTACAAAAGGACTGCAATAAATGACAGCGCCAAACTCCTTCCTTATTGTTAAAAGAATCAAAGAAAATTCAGCCTTTAGTATCCGTCGAAAGTAAAACAAAACAAAATCGATTCAGTTTTTCCTCTCAATCAATTTTACATCACAGTAATACAGATCGTGTGTCACCAACAAAGGATTTCATTCCCCCGGTTTTGTTTTAATATGGAAAGAAAATTTCTATATATATAAAATATAATAATAATAAAAAAAGTAGTATCGCATTAAAGCAGAAAACATTATATAATGCTTTGTGAAGGTCCATTGAAACGGAAATATAAAAAAACCACAATAGCACTTAATGAATGTGTCAGAAGGGCGGTGACGGTATAAAAGTATGTGGGATAGAGAAAAAAAAATAGGAAAAGAGAAGGAACCGAAATTGCCCTTTCAACATCAGCAATAACAATTTTAATTAAAAAAATAAATCGAGTGTTGAAAAGTGAGCAGTTAGATACGAACCTTTGAGAATATGAACGTGTACTGTTTTAGGATGGGCATTAGATGGAATGCATTTATACTCTCCAGTGTCTGTCGATCTGGCACGTTGAATAAGCAAGTATGATGTCGTTATGTCACCCTTTTCTGTAATCACTGATACTCCACCACGTGGACTATCATATGAAATTTCCTGTAATGATTCAAACATAAAAGAAGAATGAAAGTTAAGGCTAGCAAGGAAATTGCTAAAATAGATCAACTAAGGCGCAGTTTTTCTAGAATAACACTAATATATGCAATAAAATTTAACGGCTGAAAAATATTCAAATTGAGTGGTCAAAAATTGACAGACAGACAAAATTCAAACATTAGCATCTCCAACTGCATTGAAAATGAATCTCCAACAAAGACAAAATAATTTTGAGGAGAGAAAGTATTTCATTTTCAGTTGTGTCATGACGACGATGGCATGGAGTATGCATGCTGAATTTTAAAATATATTCTTTTTGGCTCATGAAAGCAAACATTGTTCAGTAAGTTTAAACCAGATGTAAATGAAAATTATTTCCATGCTGAATGAATTTCATCTACTTTTATTGACTTCATTTTACGAGTACTACATGATGCTACTTTCAACGATTTGTTACAAATATTTACTATGCTGTTATAACAAATGGATATTGCAACATTTTTTTCTATTTATCTGTATAAATAACAACTAAAAATTGAGATTGTTTTTTATTTGAAGTGTTTGCAAACTGAATTTGATTTTCCAAAAAAAGTTTGAGTGCGCCAATTGAATTTAGTTTGGTACACGAGAAAGTTTTCAGGACATACTCAAATTATTTGAATTTGTATATGCTCAGCAATTGGCTTGAGAGAAGTTCTGAATGAACCTGATTTATGATATTCCCGAGCAAAAACGTGTCTACAATATTTATATTACAAAGGCACGCACTCGTGACATATTGTAGCACAAAATGGATCACCGACCTTTTTTGAGGATTGTCAACAATTCGTTTAAGTCTGGCAAATTTACCTAACAGACATCAGGTGGTCTACACTCTCGAGCTTCCCCAAAATCCTCAAATATATAATATTTTTTTTTCCAACAGAGATTGCATCTATTTCCACTTACTATAATGAAATATATTCAATAAACAATTGTTGTTATCAGTTTTAAAAAAACTTTTTCTCCAGCATTGTACAATTTTTAATGTAATTTCCTAAATGTTTAGTCTCGAAAGTTTCTCTTATATCTAAAACTTTCCCATAAACATTTCATTTCATGAATGTAAAAATAAAAATAAAAAAACTTTTTCATCTGATGTGAGATTTTGGTGAATTAAAATTTCAAAACATATCACAAACATATTACATCTCAATTTCAAATTTATAGAATAAACACTTGTTATATAAATGTTTTACTCATTAAATGAATTAAAAACATGTCATAGAAGTGAATGTCGTAAGAGTGACATGGAGGTTGTTACAATTTCTAAACTTTGTAAAGTGCATGACTGTATTTATAGTGCATGATTTTTAATGGAATATTTAGAGAAAACTTTTGTTTCTTCATTTAAGGATTTAAGCTAGTGACATAACTAGTGTACAAGTATGAACTTAATATTAAAATTATATTAACGAGACAGTTTCCATTTCAAAACACACAGTCAAACTTGTTAAATTAATAAAAATAGCGAAGCAAAACTAGCAGTAATGAATATTTTCATCATCTTTATATTTGTAGTCAACTCAGTTCTCTTTGACAGAAAATTACGACTCAAGCACTTTTGAAACTCATTAAAGTAAAAATTGAGAGTATCTGCAAAACTTTTCTTTTGTATTTTTGTAGAAAAAAAAGAACTGCTTAATTGAAGTGAATTCAATTGCAATTTCAATTTAAAAAAAATTTATTTTTTTTTCTTTCACATTTTTTTCAAGTGATGAAAGTTTTCAATTAAAATCTTCTCATTCTTTATCAAAGTGATGCACGCTTTTTTTTGTTTGTCGCAGTCTAAAGGAGAGAAATTAATTGAAAAAATTTAATTTTAATCATTTGTGGCACATTAAATTCTATTTATATGTTTATAAATGTATTTTTGGGGATAAATGAATGTTTGCAATAGAAAATACATTTAAATCTCAGAATTTTAGTCAAGAATATAAAACCGTCAAATAAAATTCAAACTTTTGATTTGATGTAGTTGATTTCCTGTTTAATTCATAGTTTTTCTCCCTTTCAATTTTTTTTACATTCTTGAAAGAGTGCACATTGAAAATTCTTAAAATTTATTAATTAACATCAATTCGGTAAGTTTGCACAGCTTCTCCTATTTCATTTGCACTTCACATCCATCATCAGAACAATTTAATCAATAAGTCGTACGTCACTTTTCAATAATTGGCTTTTATTTCAATTGATTGAATCATTTCACCTGCAACTGACGATATTTACAACAGCTTAAGTACTCACCCTAACAGAGAGCATGCTCTTGATCAAGAGTACGGTTAAGAATACGCTTTTTTAACGTCCTCTCAAGATCCCAGTAAATAGCATGTTCAATAGCGGACTCAGAAGATTATATAAAAATCATGAACATTCACATCCTCATGAGATTATGCTTAAATTTTTCTTGCTACATACTTCACAAGCGCTAGTAAAAATCACTAGTATAGGTCCTATATACTTCACAAGACAAAGCAGAAATCACTTTTATAAGTAATTATTTTGGACTTTCTATAGTTTAAATATGTCTTTTCGCAATTCGAAAGTTATTTAATTTCAGAAGGCATTAGACAAGATGAACAGTTATCAGGACAAACTACAACACAGCGTACTCGGGCTCGAATCACGGCAATAACAAAAAAAAGAAAAATATCAATTTCTCAAAAACATGATCAAGAGCACAATCACAAGCTCATTAAATTTTTAAATAGTAAAATTAAAGCATGATCAGCAGAACATGTTTTTGATCATGATCTCAAGTTTAACTTGCATGTGAAATTTGCAAGTAAAAAAGCGTACTCTTGAGAGCGTGATTTCTGAGGTACCCTGCTGCGATCTCCATTTGTATGGGAGAGTACGCTAATTTAGCGTCCTCAAATTAAAACATTAATTTTTAAAAATTATGCTCAGATCGTGCTCTTTGTCTGTTAGGGTCATATTCCCTTTACAGAAACTTCAAACGTATCACACGATGCATACTTAAACGATTTAAAAGAACTTTTACAGCAAAAAAAAATTCACCGACATGTGATGGAAAAAACTTTTTATTGAGGTATTTCCAGAATTGAGTATAGCAGCTATGAGGAAAAATTTCATTCTATTAATATTTCCACCCAGTTCATAAAGATTTAACATGTGCAGAAAATTAATTGAAACTTTATTTGATTTTCCTATTATTAGTTGTAAATATTTTCGTTCATGTTTTTAATTAGTTTTGCTTTGAAAAGACTTAATTAAATTATTTCCTAGGAAAACTTTGAAAGGGAATATTCAATAGAATGTTTGTAATGAATGGGAAATTCAATTAATAGTCGATATCTCATTGATACTGCTTAAGAAGATTATTTCGTAAAATCTGTTTGATTTTAATAAGAAAAAGGGTGGAATACGGATATTATATGATTAATTTAGGAAGCGTGCTTCATTACTCTACATTTAAACAGGGTTCTAAGAAATTTTACGTAAAGTCTTGTAAACTTTTTTAAAGCAATTCCTAACAGCATGCAATAAAACAGCTTAAAATTAAGAGCATTATAGGCTCAGCAATTTAATAAATTTTATTTTGTATTGTCCTCACTGGCAAAGTCCTACTAAAGGATATAACCTTGACAGGGAAAATCAAATTCTATCATTTATATCTTCAAAAAAAATATTTTTAATTCAATTCCAAAAGCTAAATCTTCAAATAAACTTATCCAAGCTTAAAAGAGCACTCAATTCTTCAAATAACATTAAGAAGCTCTGTGCATCCAATTCTTACAATCTCAAGATATCAACGTACATATTGATCTGTAAAAATGATTCCTTAATGGCTCTTATCTTAGATATCCATTAGTGCAAGATTTTTATGTTCCTGACTGCAGTCAGTGCTTATTTTCGTAGTATCTTATAATAATAGATTTGTTGCATGCACGACTAAGGAATTTCAAATTATTGTCCTTTAGAAATAAGCACAAGTAAGCATGGGGTTGTTCGAAAATGACGTTATTTTGGGTTTTAAGACAGCTTTTTCCTTTTTTTTTGATGCTTTATGTGTCCTTAATATTTTATATTGTGTGAGAATCAAAAAATTGTGGCAACAAGCATTGTATTTTTAATCTCCCGGGACGTCATAAGCAAAGAGATCTATGCATTCAATAATCCTAATGATGCTCTAAGTGCTGTTCTTGTTTTGTGCATAAACTTTTATTTTATTCAAGAGCTACATGCATGCTTTTATGAAAAACAAGAATATTATTTCTAGTATCATGCTTTGAGTATGAAAAGTTATTAAATAAGGAAGCAACTTTTTCTTGAACAAGTTTCCTCAAATCGTTGCCAAGGAATAAGTTCTCTAGTATTTTCCAGACATGTCCATAAACAACCAATAATTTGTTTCCTGTCTCAAAAGTCATAGAAACAATTTGATTTCCATCTACCGATTTGTTGTGGCTTTGAGTTCCTTATTTTTAATTTTTTTAAATTATTTCTTCACCCGAAATCCAAAAAAAGAAATTTTTCGAATAAATTTATGATTTTTTATCGGTCCAGTTGTTGTTATTGTTAAACTTTTTAAAATAAAAATAATAATAATGTACACATTCAGCTCCATAAAAGGTATACTTTTACCCACACTTCGGCCACATAAAAACATAACCATTTTTAAAAAAAAATTGCTGGGTAAACCACTTATAAGTTTTTCCCAAACATTACAAAAGCATGTATTTCCTTCATTTTGGGTGTTGATGTATGTACAATATATTGCATATATTTATATTATTACAATATCTTACTTCCACAACGTTTATGTAAAGTTAAAGTAGAAATTTATGTTTTTTGATCTTTTTTTCTTTCTTCCGTCTGCATAACCAACTTACCTCAGCATTATGGGTCCAATGTATGGATGATGGCTCAGGTAAATTTCGTACAATACACGTGAGGTTGATTGTTGAGCCCATATTTATAAAAATTTCACCTGTTAAGTCACCCTCTCGTACACCCAAGATTTGTGTTATGGGCTCTGTGCCGTTCACGTATCGCATGAAAAGAAATAAGGAAGAGAATGAATAAATATAAAAGTTTGCTCCAATAAAAAGGTTCAAAGGATGTAGAAAGAGGAAAAATATTTCTTTGTTATTGTCGTTATTTATTTAATCAAAATGTATACATATTTGAATGTCAATAGATCTCTCGGAAGCAATAGAAATGAAGCTGTATCATGATATCCCAATATTTTGATAAAGAAGCACCATTGGATATTATTTAAATACAATTATCTGAGTCAGTTGGATAGGCAAAGACTGGAAAATGCTAATAAAACGGATTTTTAAAATTCAAAATTTTAACGGATTTTAAGAATTCAAAAAAATGGTTGACTAAAATTTAAACTTGTAACCAGCAGTTTGCACTTTACAAAAATTCTTGGACTTGTTTTTTTTTTGCTCTAATAGAATAAGAAGAAGAAGAAGCTTTTCGAAGCGAACGAGAATGTAAATGAACTTTTTTAAAAAAGAAAATTAAGAAGACTTACTGAAATTTACACGCTTTTTTAGCTGTGAGCGAAGCTAATGTTAATACAAAGTTAAGTATTTTGTTACTTAAAAGAGCTTTACAATGTTATTTATAGACAGAATCTCAAGATAAAAAAGTATGAGGTTGTAAGACATAAAAATTTCGTCGTAAACACCAAGTTCATTATCAATGGAACAAAGTAAGTGCACGTGCGACGAGAAAAAATCTACCTTTCTGTCTCCATCTAATTCTAAGCTTTTTTTAATGGATTCGCAAAGATGCATGTTCGATAAACAGCAGCAATGAATAAATTTAAATTATTCAATGTCATTCTTTCTTATTTTTTAATGCTGCTGTATAAAGTCATTAATTTATTCTGAATTCTAATCGCAAATAATTCTTATCAAGTTCTTAATGAGGCGACTGTTTGACTCCAATGAACGTAATTAAGGACCTAGGCTTAGTCTATCGTTTCTGAATATTTGGACTTTTTTAAGTTTAAAATCTGATTTCAAATTCTACAATAGCTCAAATTTTTTTGTAAATTTTCCGAACTTATGAAAGTTGAATACTTAACGGACTTTTCTTATCTAAATTTGAAAAACTTTTCACAAGTTCACAACTCTAAAAGCAAATCGATTGAAAATTCATTTTTAAACCAAGCTCAGTGGACTTTAAAGGAAATTATATTGAATCGTGTGCATACATTTGATCTCAAAGTATTTAAATGGAAATACATGTTTGTTTACGCTATACAACAAGCTGCTGTGAACACATAAAAGTGGATTGAATGAGGAGAAAAAAGAAATATAAAATGGAATTTCAATTAAAATTCTGTAAATATGTTCGCTTTCCTATTGCTTCTTATTGCTCTATTGCTCTATTCATTCTGTTCTATTGAGCTCGAATAATATCGATAAAGAAATCCTTGTAGTCTATACTCACCAACGACTGAAAGGTAAACTGGAAGTGAGAAAGAATGAAATAAAGAAAAATGTTTGATTAGTGAGAAATACATTAAAAATGTTATGTTATTGCAAATAAATACCTGGATAGCCTCGTGGAGGTGTAGATGATATCTGACATTCAAAAATCCCAGTATCTTTAAGCTGTGCATTTTTAAGCTACCGAGCGTGAGAAAAAGAGAAAAAAAATGGAACGATTAAAACTTTCATATTTGCTTTAAAACTGCTTATTGTAAGGACGAGAGGGTATTTGTTTACGAACAGCTATTACAAACAATGAAGGAACGGAACGAAAAAAAAAATTGACAGAGCATAAAAAAAAAAAAACTAAACGATGAGAAATAAAAACTTTTGCCCTTAATGCCATAAAATTTCACGGTAAAAATAACCATAGAACCAAAAGTTTTTTTTTTTCATGTGCAACAAACGGGAAACGAAAAAGTTTTATGCTGTGAAATATTTCGAGGATTACTTTTTTATGGAATTGGTTTCGCAATTTTGGATTCAATGAATACCCAAGAATGAGAACGTATATAAAGGGGGAAGTAGAGGAGTCCAATATATATAAATGTAGTCCTTCAAACAAGACTAAATGTCGGAAATGTTTACTCAAAATGTGAAAGAATCCAAAAAAAGAAAAGAATTTCCTCTTTCCTGCTCTATTATTTTCGAACATTTTAATTTAAATTGCCTTCAATTTCTGTTCGCTTTTGATGATCATGCACTTTGCTTGCTTCTGAGGTAAGTTTTCATTCTCTCAATGAAATTAACATTTATATTAAAAAAATGTTTATATACTTAATGATTTTTTGGAGATTGCATTCATGAAAATAGGTCAATTTATCCGTATAAGCTACTAAAACTATTCATTCAGGAATTGGATATGCTGGATATTTTTCATATTTAAAGATCAGTTGAATTAAAATCTACAATAATTTTACATTACAAACCATTAAAATTCTAAAACTTCCAAAAAAAACCATAAACTTTGGATTATCCTTAAGAATATCAAGCAGCTTTGTAAAGAAAGCCTGACCAAAGGGTTAAAATGCTTTAATCTTTTCTTCTGAATAATTCCTTTTGTTATCAATTCCATTGCAAACAGAACTACAACAGACATTTAGAAAATGGAATTTCTGATTCAAAAGCTCATTAAAAATTTATAGATTTTTTTTATCATCATTTTCAGGTCAAGTATTGCTTGAGTCTATATGAGAAAATTTAGATCCACAAAGATGACGTAAGTCTATACCGTATCATAAAATTTTGATTGTTATGACCCACAAAATATAATTCTATCCGCATGTCGTTCTGATATATTTTATAGATAATCAGGTGCTAGTGCATTTTTTAGAATTTCTGGATATAGCTTTCGATATATGCTTACGTTTACTGTTTTTTTTATTTTTCGTACCTTTTCATTCATATCCTTTAATATATAAGAATGAATATTTCAAAACGAGATACTTGCAAATAAATTGTAATCAATCTTATGGCAAGAAGTAGTTTACACTCTCTCGACTTTGTCCCTTTTTAAGAAAAAAAAAATATTTATGACTTTTTTCCGTCCTTTTCCTTCATTCGTCGTCCATAGCAGTTAAAATTGTTTTCTTATTCTTAATAATAAATTGTAACAAAATGGTTTAACAGCAAAAAGGGTGACATGGTCTATGAACCCAAGCTCTATGGTGAAAGATAATATTAAAAGTACTTTATAGAACTAGTATGTGAAGCTTGTATTCCTTATTCGGACATATTCACACCTTTAATGCTTAATTGTAAGATAGAGAGTGTGCTTCAAATCACAGTAATCTTTGAAATTTTGAAATCGAAATTATTTAAAAAGTTTTCAGATTCGAAATTATTAAAAGTTTGAGTCAAGTAGAAATGAATCTGACAAGAAAAGTTTCAGATGAAATCTTGGAAGAAGTGTTTACATATTTGAGTCGAAAAATGCTCAAGAACACTGCTTTGGTGTGTGACAGGTAATGGAAATTTTGAATTCAAATGAGAATCAAACTCGTGAAATTGTCTTGAACCAAACATTGATAACATCTTTTTTGAATTTGAAACTTTTAATCTTTCATCGCTTGAGACACTTTTACTGAAAAATCAACGCATTATAATTGATGTTCAGAACCAAGACATCACAGAAAAAGTTGGTACAAAATTCAAAAAATTGTCATGTCACTACAAAATATTTCACATATTTAACTGTGATACAATTCAAGACTTAACAATTAAAAATGTTGAAAAGATTGTTGAAGATAGAAACAAACAATTTTTTGAATTTTTGAACATGCAAAAAGGATTGGAACGATTTTGTTTGGTTGGCGAAGAATTATTTGAAATCTTCCATGACTGTATTTGCAGTTATCAATTAAAAGAATTTCATTATCTTAGTGAAATTGAAAATTCAGTCGATTGTCAGAAAATGATCAAATTTTTGGACCAGCACAAAGCAACTCTTAAAGCTCTTGAAATTAGTTGGATGACTTCTGAGATGACTCAACTAGAACAAATGCAAAGCTTTGTTCTTAAAAATTTTAAACATTTGAAGATTTATAAACTTGGAATATTAGTCTTATCGAACTGAAATGAAGATAATGTTGAAGTTAAAACAATGATAATACATGATGAACTACACAGAGCTACTTCCATTACTCAAAATATTGAAAAATTGGATTTTCATATTCCTGTTCGTGTTTTAGATGAAAACAAAAGATTTATCAGCATGTTTCCAAATATCAAGCATTTGAATTTAACCACCGGTAGACAAAATGATTCTGTGAGTCAGCTTCTTCATTTCATCAGCACAACTAACACTAAATTGGAATCTTTAACTTGTCTTTAACTATGCATCAAATGAATTTTGATGACAATCAAGTGCCATTCTTTCCAAATTTAAAGGAATATATAAAATTAGATAGATTTGTTAACCGTCATGCAAATACTCTCGAAAGCTTCAATTTCATATCGCAAATACACTTTCTTACATCATCATTGGCAGAAGAAATTTTCAAATGTAAAAATTTAAAAAGTTTGAAGTTCAGAATTTGGAGAGATGAAGATTTTTTCAAAATTCAGAATATATTGCGTGAAAAGATGCCAAGAAGGAAAGTATTTACTTAAAAATTTTTAAGGTAATCCGCGTAAATCGACAGTATTCAAGCTACCGGAAGATTCAACCGTTTGGTACAACTTTAATTACGCTTCTAGGTCATCTGGCAGACGGAATTCCTAGAAAGTTTTCTGCGATTTTCTAAAAAATTCCTTAGACTTCCTATCATTATGGCCCAAACTTCCTTAATTTTCAGAAGTAATTCCTAGTAAATCTAGGAATTCCTAATTTTTTTAGAAATTCCTAGGAGATATATTTTTTTTTGTAATAATTGCGATTCGCAAAAATTCCTAAGAAAATTAGGAAGTTGTAGAAATTCCTAAAAAATTCCATAAACTTCCTAGTAATACTAGGAAATACTAGAAAATCCTAGTCATTCCTAGAACCCTCGTTAGAATAATTATAAAATGTTTATGCTTACTATGATTTCCTAGTATATATATCATAGGATTTCCTAGGATATTACAGAAAGTTCTTGAGGGGATTTCCCCAAAATCCTAGGAATTACTGAGGAATCTTCCTAGGATATTACAGAAAGTTCTTCAGGATTTAGGATTTATCAGGATTTCTTAGGATTACCCAAGGGTCAGACACTCCAAAGTATTGTACGGTATTGTACAATACTTACAATACTTACAATACTTTCCATACAAGTATTGCAGTATTGTACAATACCTACAATACTTACAATACTTGCCATATAAGTATTGTAAGTATTGTACAATACTTACAATACTTTTCATATAAATTTACAATACTTTACAATACTTACAATACTGAAATTTAATTATTTAAGAACCAAATTTTAAAAGAAATTACATATTTTTTTTGTTTTCAACAATTTGTAAAACCAAATTTAGTACTTTTTTTTGACAAATATTGATAAATAACAATTTTTTTTTGATAAATTAACATTATTATTGAAAATTAGCAGGGGTATTTTATGAAAAACTAGCACAAATTTCAGTTTTCTAATAAAAGAGAGAATTTCTGATTATGTAATGGCTATAAAAATGATAAAAAGTTCAAAATTCTTTTGGAAAGCTAGACTGGTGCAAATTAAGAATTGATTTCATACAATTCTCTTGCATAAAACCGTACAGGTACGAAGTTTATTATGTAAACTAATGTCAATAAGGAATCAAAATTAAATAGATTGGTTTCATTTTCACAAGATTTATCACTTTTTAAAGCCAACTTTATTACGTTTTATACAAATTTTTTGATCAAAGTATAAGGTTTTAAGTGTATTCAAACATTACTTTGAAGATTTGAATTTTTTACCTTTGACAAGAAGGCGATTAAGAAAGAATCAAATTTAACAAACTTATCAAATGGTTTTAATAGCATTTTTTTTTGAAAATACATATTGTCAACAACTGCATCTCTAAGACAATATAAAACTGTATATTTTCTTCTTTCTTTGCCAAAATTATTCTTATTTTTTTATTTCTTATAGTTTATACTAGACTTTCACGATTTCCTGTTCCCGAAATTTTTGGAACAGAAACTCGATGAATAAAAATAGTTATCCAAAAAATTTTTAATGTCAAATAGCTCAATTGAAAAGTTTCATCATTTAAACCAGATTTAAACACAAAAAAAAATCTTCCAAATTTTTAGGAGCATGTTTGATATTTGAGTTTAAATTTTTGTCCAGTTCCCGACAATTTTTTGGGTGCGGGAAATCGTGAATGCCTAGTTAATACAAAAAGATATATCATTTCAGGAAAATTCACTGAAAATTTCTGATGAAATATGTTCTTACTAAAAACAAAGTAAACTTTAAAGAAACAAACTTAAATCGAGGCATAGCAATGTTATGTTATGACTTAAAGCGCTATAAAAAAAAATAAAGCGCTATCCATACAAGTACTGTAAGTATTGTAGGTATTGTATAATACTTACAATACTTTCATATGTATTGTAAAGTATTGTACAATACATTACAATACTTTTGGAGTGTCTGACCCTTGGGATTACCTAGAATATTTCAGGCTGTACTAAAGAAATCCCAAAAATTTTGAGAAATATTAGAAAATTCAACCCAAAAAAGCCGATGGCTGAACGATTTTTTATATCATTTTTAAAAATATCTTCTATGCAAAAGCGAGTATGTTATTTGTTTTTGTCAGAATACAATTGACTATATCGCAAAAAGTTTCTATCCAAACAAATTAAGATTTAATAGAATTCTGTAATATTTAGTTCTAATTTACAGCTTCATAACACAGCTGTAAGTTTTTGAGTCTATATAACATGCAGCTGTAAGTTGAGAAATGTATTGTTTAGGAAATCGCTTATCTGTACTTAAAACGTGGTGGCTTAAATAGAAGCAAAAATAGTGACTTGTTTACCGAACTAATTTCGATCGGCATTGTCTGGCGAAAAGACTTTTTGTAAAAGGAAATATTATAGTCAAATTTGCAAAACTTTAATGAACAAGGACAGATAAGCGTACCTAAGCAATACTCATTATCTTTAATTAAAGCTGTTTGTTATTCAAACTTTTGGTCAAATTTGCAGCTATAATTTAATCCCTACGTATACATTCTTATTTATACGTAAGCTTAAGTATAACAAATTGCAAAATAACTGTGGTATACGTTAACCCATGATCGTTGTGTACTGCAATAATTAGGTATCGAATAGGTCATTCATGGCAGCATTTCAAATTTTTGAGAAGAAGTATTTTTATCGCAATTTATCTGTAATTGGAAATATTTGCTTTTACAGTTTTTCGAGAAGATAATAATTTACAATTTTTGCGAAGAAGTAAAAATTACTTAAGAATTTCTAGGATTTCCTTACTTACTTTAAAATAAAACAAAATTTGGATATCATTTATTTAACTTTAAATTTTAAAATCCGTAGTCAGCTATGGACAGTAATACTTAAAATACGACTATAAATTGGTGTGAATATGAAAAATCCTTACCTTTAATGTCCATTCTTCTGTATCAGCATCATGCATACTTTGGAATCGAGCATCTGATGTGTACATTGTCGTACCAACTGTTAACAAATTTATATCCAAATGGCGCACCCATGAAACTGTCTTATTTCCTATATTATGTACACGACACTTAAGATATGCTGTATCACCGACCATGACAGTTTCATTTCGAAAATAGTCATAGTCAAAATACGGTCCATTCGGTGGATGATCACGATCGAATTTCTCACGATGTATATCGATATGGTTATTTTCACCTTCCGGATCTAGTTCGGCCCAATCGTAACTAAATGGTGATGTTGATGATGGAATCACTGAAAGTAAAGAATAAAGTGTGAGAAAATAAAATCAAGTGTCTCAATTTACTCTCGCATTCTAAATAAACAGCTTATGTCATTGCCTCGACTGCTGTCGTGGCTTGTCACTCGCCTATGAGATTAGATGGAAACTGAAGCTTAAACACAAAATAATGAAGTGAGATGTGAAGAAGTGGAAAATAAACAAAAACACAAGCAGAAGTGTATGGAAAAACAAGTAAGAGAAAGAGAGATGAATTTGAGTTTCTAAAATCGACTAGAAATTATAGTTATTCAATGCAGTCTTTGAAATTTGACTTAACAAAGGTTTTTAAGTTCAATGAGCATAAAGTTTCAATTGTTTGTGTGAAAATTATTAAGCTTCACAAAGTTTTACTTTTTGGGTAGATAAACCTGATGTTTTAAATGTTTTCTGAATTTAATCTTTTAAGTTCTAAAGAACTTTTTGGTATTTCTCAAGAATCAATTTGATGGAAATGATTTAATTGTTGGAATTGAACAACAATTTGATTTGATGAATTGTAAACAAACAACAAAGTTGAATTTTAAAACTTTGTTTGATTTTGACTTGAATTGACCAAATATCAGATCAAAGACATTCAATTTACAAAACAATCATCAATATTTCAAAGTCAGAGTGAGAATGAAAGCTGTTCACTCCTTAAATCCCGCTAACAAGAAAGCTTTAGGGTAAATGGAGAGAAAGTAAACATTTTCGTCTATTGTCCCATGACACAATTTAGAAACGTAATAATGAAGAAAGAATAAATAAGAATAGAAAGTTTCTCTTCGGAGATCGAATGTTGTGCGCACGAAAGAAAGAAATCTTTGTGAAAATTGAATAAATGGATGGAAGAATTATTGAATTTCAATAAATAAACCGAATGGAGCATAAGTACGTACGCAAACAAACATCCATACGCATTTTCTTAAGCAAACTTTTTAAAGCAGCGAACAAGACGATGAAATTTACGAGTGCGGAAAACTTTGAAAAGATTTTTTTTTGAAAACAAAGAAAGAATAACTTTCAAGTACTGCGAATAAATAAAATCAAGAAACAAATCGTTGTTATCGTGCTTACTGATTGATTGAAATTTGATATAATTTTCTTCTGATGTATATCATCGTTAAATGTAGCTAGGCACATATGTGTTTCATGCTGTGGCTTTGAAATTGTTTATTTTGTAAATTTAAATGTAAATTTTATGATGTGCGGTTGTCAACAATGCTTTTCAATTTAAATTGCTGTCGAAATCAACATTTTTAGTATTTCTTCGAAGGAAGTAATGAATTTGAGGGATTTACACGTATTATAACACTTTAAGAGTTTCACAAAAGTAAGGCTTGGCATAAAAGTAGTTAACATCACAATCAAGATTATCTTAAAAATAATAAACAAATGGTGAAAATATTCGAATACAAACTAGTGAATTAGTAAAATATTGAGTTCCAATTTAATGCTTTGGAAAACTCTCAATATATTCAACCCTAATAAAGCAGATAATATCCATTGAGACATCATTTCCATAAAAAAGAAAATAATCCAATAATCTCTAATTCAAAAGCACTGTACACCCATCAACCTTATTATCTTTATTTTTGTATATTTTTCCAGATAATGATTCAATTACATCCAACATCAATCAATATCGTCTTCAAAATATAACAATAGAAAGCTTGTTTTCCATAAAAAAGTGCAAATTCTGATAATACTCGAGTTATTTCAAGAACGAACATTTCACTTTGCCAAAGCTTGTATAAGCTCGTCAATGCGATATTGGAAGAAAAAGAAATGAGGAAAAGAAGAAAAAAACTTTTTGACTATGTTCTCACTTCTGAAAGGAAAAAATCACGAAAGGAATTGGTGGAAAAATATAAGAACTTTGATTGAGTGACGTAAATCGACTTTGTTTTCAAGTCTGATGTGAAAAATTTTCATTTTTGTGTAAAGAAAATTAATGAGGGTGATTTTTTGAATAGGGTGTGAATTTAATCTCTGGATATCTGTATCCTTGTTAATTTAATTCACAAACTATGCAAAGTTTGAGTCCCCAAGTTAGAAAATGGACAATTGTGGATTTTCACACAATGGGAATATAAATTGATGTTTTTTCTGGCGTGTGCAAAGGTTTCTTAAGGAATCATTCATAATTATGGTGACATTTCATAATCTTCTATATTAAAATTCATTAATTTGATGGGTCAGCATAGTAAAAAAAAGCTCAAAAGCTCTGAGGCACGTGAAAAGATTTTATTAAAATCCTATTTTTGAATAAACATCAAATAGAAGAAAATGGAAAAGAAGATGTTTGATTGTAGTCACAGCGATGATTTGCGACCTGCTTGGAGGTGTCATGGTAATTATGAAGTTAAAATTGATTATACAGAACGTCAAACGGGTTTCAAAAGATTTCAATTCCCTGGGTATATATTTTAAACTTTGATATTCAAATTCGTATCTGAGTGTTAATTATCTTTAGCTTCTCGTTTTAATGGTAGTGCTGATAACAGCTTTTCTGACTGCTAATCAATCATACATTTTGACACAATGAGCCAATAAATTACACTATAAATTATTTTTTATGGAACCAACTTTTATTGTCTTAATAAAGACAATGAGATTGTATGATTTACGTGCTACTGTTAGTTAAAACTGACACTTTTAAATCATAAGCGAAAGAGTTATTGGTTGGTAAAAAGTTCCTACAATTTGAATTTTTAAAAGCCGTTAAAATTATTTTTTTGTTATTTTGTTAAAATATGAACGTTTAAAAACGATAAAAACATTATAAAATTAAAGATTTTTGTTAAACTTGAACAACCAGACGCAAAACCAACATCCAGAACAATATTCAATTTCCTAATTTAATGCCAATCCATAAACAAATTTCAATCAATAATAAAATCGTAATGCATTATTATTACATTTTATTATATTTACGGTCGTATCTATTTTGTTGTTGCTTTGGCATCATTGTCATCATCATCAACATCATCCTTTAAGCGAAACAAATCGGCTGAAAATGAGAGCATTTTTTCATTTTTGACATAAATCACATAATGGTTCTGATGTCACAGCTTGGCAACTGATATTTAATGACCAATTTATTGTATGTTTGCTATTTCCAATTCAATTTGATTGAAAAATTGATAATAATTGAGTATTTATTAATTTTATCTCGAAAATAGCATCATTCATATGAAATAAAAACTTTTTTTTATATGCACAACATTTTGTGTGATTTATTATAATTTAATTGGATATTTGCCTCGAACCACAAAATAATTGGACAGATTGGTGTAAAAGCATTAAATATTGTGCATGATATTTGCAGTGTGAAATTTTTAATAAACTTAATATAACGAATGAATAACTTTTCTGTATAATTAATTGGAATGCAAATAAATGCATTTAAGAGGAGGAAAAATTATGCGACTCCAGTTTGTCAATTTAAATAAATCAACAATTTTCGTGATGTTATAAATTTTATTAAAATGATTGGTGAATATTGAAAATTTTTAAGATTTATTGTAATATTATGGAATATTCAACAGGACTGAGCTTAATTTATTACTTTTAAGCTTATTTCAGCATTTCATAGTTAAATTCAGCATTAAATTTTGCTCAAATAAGCTTAATTCAGCGTTATTCAGCTTAGTATAGAGCTTTCTCGCTTAATTTACCATTATCGAGATCTATTCAGCCCAAAAATCTATGAAAAATTCATATTTTCATTGCCCTAAAGTGTTTCTGCAATCAAATCTTCAAACTCAAAACATTCTGGAACCATTCCATATAAGAATAAACTTTTTTTTGGCACAACAAACGGAAGAAATTTTATAAAATCAATTGACTGCTCGACATTTTCAAATAGCTTCTAATTTCTCTTTTCTCTTTCACATTTTGATTTGGGTCATGAATGGGAAAATGGCTTTGTCGTTGCCCTTTTTTTATATCCAAACAGTCATTTAAATTTTATACTTCTTTATTTCTTTGTGTCAAAAAAAAATTGTTTGTAAATAAAAAGTTTGTCTTGATATGGGAAAATTATTTAAATGGAATTTCCTTCACATATAAAGGACATTCCAATGAAATTAAATGATATTATCAGAAACAAATGACAGGTGCTTCTTCATAAATTCCAAGAATTTCTTGTTTTAATTTAGAATTTATCTTTGAATTTGAAAAGAAATTATGAGAAAATTGATTGTGGCTTTGATATAAGCTTTAAAGAAAGACTATTATCTTAAATTTTAGTTTAAATTTAGCATTTTCTGGCTGTATTCAGCGTATTTCAACACAATTCAGCATTTTCTGGCTCTATGTAGCGTATCTAAACACAATTCAGCAATATCTGGCTCAACTCAGCTCAATTTAATCTATTTTAACTATATTAAGCTTAACTAAATGAAATTCAGTCGTATTATTTGATTTTAACAACCTCAAATGCTACAAAATCTTCATTCAACACAGATCTTTAATTACAACTGCCAAATCTGACAATAACCTTACTCATACTGCCCATTAAAAGAATAAGAAAGAGAATTTCTTTATATCACATGTCAAGCCTGCCCACTTGATATTACATTTTCAAATGATTTATATTTTCGATGTCAACAATTGTCCAATCGATCGGGAAATAAATTATTCACAGTATGAAAAACAACATAGAAGATTGACTTTTCACCGTTGATTGATGAATAAATTCGATTTAGTCTGGAAGGAATAAATTGACAAAAAACGAAAAATTCAATTCTGTTATGGGATCCACAAGGTAGTTAATGGAACTCAATTACTGTTGTTTTTATTTTTATTCGTTAAAAAAGAGAAATGGATTTTTTTTTCTGTAGCAATTATTTTCGCTAGATGACATGAAATTAAAGCCCATAAATTTTCCCAAACATAATGGAAATCACGAGCGAATAATTGTTAATAATAAGAAAAATTGTGTAAGAAGAGCTCTTGCCTGATGATGTTGTTGAAGGCGTTTAAGATA